TATACCAAGTTTAGGCGGTGGTTACGGCTGCGGCCTACGCCCGCTCCCTGCGCGGTCATCTCGACTTTGTCTTGTCACCACTTGAATGCAGTTGAGTAGGATAGATGGCGGCGCGTCTACTTTCACTATACCTAACCACAGTCACCGTCCCTGGTGGCCATCTTCGCTTGCGATGGTCGAACTAACACATATAACAGTGTCGTAGTCTAGTTGAACGAACCCGTCTATCACTTCTAACTCGCCGAGCTAAGATGTGCATAGTAATTGCAACTGCAAGTGTTGCTTCTTTTCTACCGAGAAAAGTCGGGTCAATGTAATCGCAAGGCTGGTTAGACGATGAATGGGGACAGCTAATTTAAATGAATAGGCGTAAATACGCCTACTGATACGAATATAGTAGTCATTTTAGTGTTTCTTTAAAATGAGAGTACTCACGTCACGATTACCGAGGTGATATCTCAGTCTTTGGCTAATATTACAACATTCCGGTCTACCTTCTATTCGTTGGTAATATTCTTCTGCGCGTTATATACTAGGCGCTAAACGGCTGTTGGCGGGGCTCGAGATTGAGCCCCAAGACACAAAGAGACGCTTCTGTGCCGTAACAGGATCATTGTGCACCCGCTACTCCTGTGTTTTAATTTCAATCAGTCATACTAAAACGAGGCATTGCTACAATTTCCTGTTTATTCAGCAATCACTAACAGTGCTGCTCAGCATAACTCCTGCGGATGTGTAGAAAGTTTTCCCTATATGCCTAGCTTACAATCTTAAAATACACCATCCTGCAAAATACTTCTCGTGAATTTAAAGGTACCTTCTTCTCCCAGAATCCTAGGCATAACACCTTCAATATGAACCGCTGCTACTGTTCATGCTTATGTCTCTGATGAAGATTCCGAGACAGCTTCCGAAACATCAGCCGAATAAGTCTTGTCCCTGCGATTGCATCTTCTTCTTCTTTCCAATGAACTGCAATTTTCAAACGGAAACTTGGCCGGCTTATTGTGAAATAATTTATTTATAAGCGAAGAGTCTTTTACGTGTTGCGCATTTCATCAGCAGTTGTTTGGGATTGCTCCGATGGGGTCTCAGAAAATAGATATATCGTTCGAATCTCAGGTGTTCCAAACTTGCGATTGGGCAAGGTTGGTTGTTGACATTCAGTGAGCCAGAAAAAGTTATAACAATCTCCTCTGTCAGAAGATAAATTGGCGAACATACCTTTGTTTTCGATAGATTCTCGTCAGACATTTATATTTATATGGTAATTAACTAAATAAACTATGCGCGTTAATAGAAAAAACAGTGCAGTTGTCAGGATAGGTGGGGGGGGGGTGCGATCGGGGTCTCAAGTCTGATCAGCGTTAGGGTAAACTGGTAGCCGAGAGGGAGAGAATGGGTACAACAATCTGATCATTGGTTCTTTTGAAGTACACCGTACAGTAGTCACCGGTTAGTAAGCCCACCTCGGGCCCAGACCAAATTGGGCTTCATAAGCGGCTGGGCTTATTAACCGTGGGCTTAATAACCGGCGACTACTGTAATAGGAACTGAAAATCAGGACATTTATACTTCATGAAAATGCCTAAAACTTAAAAAGAGGTGACCTTTCTGTTAGCGAAATTTAAGCAAAAACGGTGAGGTTAAGATTTGCATAAGAGGTAAGACGCATAAAGTTGTTGTCGGCTAGTTCAACTTCATAGGCGGGTCTTAAATGCAAGGCAGTTTGGGATACGACTGTCAAGCAATGGAGACGTTTGCGAGACGCCTTCTGTGCAATATTCGATAACGTCTGTTCTTGAATATATTTCCACCCGCTACTTATAACATGACAGTAGTGAAGTTAAACACTTTATCAAAAGATCTAAATCGTTAGATCATCGAAGCACAAAATGCAATCATATATTTATGTAAAAAGTCTAAACCGTACCCAATAAGAGATTGTGTGCCTGCTCAGACATTTGGAACTGAACAGTGACGCCAGTCTCCAAATCCTTCTGTTGAAGTTGATCTTTAAGGTGGACAACCTCACGTTCTTTCGAATAGAGCAGACTATGCTGGTTCTTCAATAGGTTTTCGTAGTACATTGCGTAGCTAAACGAGGTCAAAAATAAGGATGTAATTGCAAGAAGTTAAAGGTTGTTTTTATTCCATAATGATTCCTGATTCCACAGGTTGCATGGCCACATGAAATAAAGTGACAAAGAAGAGGGAAACAGAAATGGCATAAAATGGTCAGTTTTTCTGTATGTTCCTAGGCTCCATATTCTTCAGTCAAGTAGTTATAGCAAAACCAATCTATGATCCTAACCATGGTCGCAGTGTCTCAACCAGTCACACACCGAGGTGCAGAAGACTGCAGTAACGAAGGAACTAACCAAGAGAAAGAAGTTAGTACAGTTGCTCTGAATCTCATGATGGGTATTTTTTTATCTTCGAAAAGTGAGCGGAAACAGGGGAAAGGACATTTGTCACCGACGGTAATTCTTTAATTAGTGGTGATCCGCACCTACCGGCCAGTTTTGTTGGACCGCTAACGTCATTTAGACACGTGAGTCATACTAAGAAACACGAATTTTTTACCTAAAGGCCCATACTTGCTCATCAAACAAACAAGTCAAATTAGTGTTTTTTTAGTTGAGCTGCAATAGGAGGCAGTTGGGCATTCCAACCACAAGCTTCCATCACGTTTGGCCCAC